CCTGATTCGTTGTACATAATGATTAATAAAGAGTAGCACGTCTAATTGTCGAATAAATATCTTTCTTGTTGCTTATAATATTATAGCGTATCACGGTGGATCGATATTACATTGTAATGATGGTATTTCGATTTATTTTAGGTTCAGAAAGGAAAAGAATATTATAACATTTCATATGTCTTGGGATTTGTGTAATTATCGTATTGAATTCGTCGCAGGGTTGAAAGCGGTAGGATTATAGTTGAGTAAGAATGAGAATAAGAATGTAAGTTTAAATGTTTTATTCTGTTTGTGAATTTGATAGAGATTGATTAAGGTTTCATAAAGATGGTATCTTACGGGGATTCAACATGGGTCGTTGGGGGATTAAAGATTTCGGATGCGAGTATTAAGACATGTGGGTCAGGCTTAAGGTATGCAAAGGGTAGTTTAAGGAAAGTCGATCTTGATTGGTTGATATTCTTTTAGGTGGTCGCGACAGTAAGAGAAATACTGAGTTGTGATTGGTGAAAATGTTCACATTCCGTTAGGTCTGGAGGAGTTGCGAAGATTGGTCAGGTTTGTATGCGTAATGGCCAATGAAGTTGCAGCTTGAAAATGCGGCTATGCGTGAGCATATGCTAATGAGTTCAAGTACGCGCCAAGAAAAAGATGGTTTTAAATACGCACGATACGCACTTAAAGGTTAAAGATCGCGTAGTGTTTATGGTGTTATAGTGAATTTCATATATATTAATAAAAATGAAAAAAAATTTGCAATGGTATTTGTCGCGGGACGTGACAGTTGACATTAAGTAAGATAAAAGCAAAAACAAAATAAAAATATGTCTACATCAAACTAAAAATATGTCTACATCAACTAACGTTTTGACTACCTTCATTTTCAAAGTTATAAACAAGTATGTATATGAAAGCGGTTGACTACAATAGATTAACATAGATCACTAATTATAGAAGTATAATGAAAATTATTAAAAAGAGACCTTCGTTGTTCAGGCTTGATTCCAATTATATGTAATCAACGGATGGTAGATCCTGGATTTACGCCAAACATTCAAATACCGCTGAGTATCCAACAATGAATAGATATAGTTGTCAAAAAATAAATCCTGGATATACACCATGGTTCGATTACAAAAGTATTCGCCAAATATATAAAAGTCGCTGATAATGCTATTAAGTAAGCCGAAGTAACAGTCATTCTTACAAAATCCAGATTCCACAGTATAAAATTGAATAACTAACCCCAGGCATCGATGTTACTATTGTCCCCTAATGGTATTTTAGGTTTTATAGTACATTTTTAAAATAAAACCTAGATAAAAATCAACTCAAATGTGAAAAACATCAACACAGATAATCATTAAAACATATTAAAATAATATATCATACCTTTGTTATAAAGAAAAAAAAATATTTTGAATTTTATGCACGCAATAAAAGTTACTTGATGCATGAAAAAAGTAATTTCTGCTTCTGCACTCGTGCACGCTTCGCGAAAATCAGCATGTAACGAACGATTCGATGCCTATCTGTTTATAGAATTTTATCACACGGCCACATACATATATCTGTTATAGTTTAAGAAATATTGACGATGTTACTATTGTCCCGTGTTACTTTTGTCCCCGGTCTCCCCTACACATTATTTAATAATTTTATTCGAACTGCATTCTCTGCTATTTTTGTTCACCTACTCCGCATATTCCTGAGATCATAATATCATGAGACCATTCAGCGTACCAACTGGCTATAAGAAAATACTCATTTATATTGGAGATTAACCAATGGAAGCGTATGCAGATCATGCAGTGAAATACAATTCATCTGTTTTCCATGTTGAAGAATTTAACCGAAGAGCATGTCAAATAATACAACTGCTACACTGAAATATATATTTTTAGATTTTAAGGTCTGTTAATTGTTTTAGCCCAGCACTTATATTCCTAATTGCACAAATTTATTCATCTTTCTTTTTCTCTGTCTCTATTTAATTATTATATTTTATTTTTAAATAAAATTACATTAATCAAAGAAGAAAAGATAAAATTGGTACAAAAAAATAAAAGAAAATTTAGTTAAGTAAAACGTTATCAAAGAGAATATATTTTATCTATAGCACGATATGAAAAAAGTTTCTACTGGCTTATTGAACGAAAACAACGAACTCGAACGGTTACGGAGCAAGAAGCAGGATTTATTGTTACTGTTAGATGGAGGCGAGAAACGACTGAAAATCGCACAATCCCGGAACGGAGAAAAACAAGTGGAAGAAAATATAATACGCCTTCAAGTGTTGCAGTTGGAGCGAATGACATCGAACGTGAGCGATAAAGTCTACGATTTAGAAAAGTATCGTCTCCATCTCGAAGCTGTGAGTGATTTTCTGATTTCGTTAGAATTAAGGTTCCCCTAGGTAGTCGCCGAAGCCATGTTGACATCGTAACGTCATAAGCGAGAAATGATACGTTAATTTATGGCACATATCATTTGTAAAGAAAGATAATTTGGATAAATCTAAATGACGAGGTCGCTTTAAAATACTTGTAAAAATGGACGAAAACTGTCCTTTTCCCCCTTGAGAGTTAGTAAATAGTCGTAAAAAGCACGTAAACTAAGCATCTACTCGGGCAGGAAACACGGTTTAACAGCTGTTGAAACGAGTAAAATATACGTATAAAATTCCAGGTAATTATTTAGAATACGGGTCCCCTTCTATAATTTTAATAAAAATGTACTTATTTGACACGTTTTCACTCAAAACGAAAGAATCTGGAAAAAAAAAACGCTGTGATCGGCCTCGTGAATTGAGTTATTAAGCGTTAAAGTTCAAGACTTTAGGCGTCGTCTACAATACACGGAGTAAGAAGTAAGAGTAAGAAATTGACCAATCATAGTCGATTATTCTTCTCACATTCGACTGTGATTGGTCAATTTCTTACTCTTACTTCTTACTCTGTGTATTGTAGACAGGCCTTAAGAGGTTAAGATATCTGTTATGTCCAATCGATACAGCGCTATGTGTAAGTTTTGCATTAATTACAAATCCTCTACTATTTCACAAACACAAATTCACTACTTTAAAAACAAATTCACTGTTTTAAAAATATAAATTCACTGCTTTAAATACAAATTCACTGCTTTAAAAATACAAATTCACTGCTTTACAAACACAAATTCACTGCTTTATAAACACAAATTCACTGCTTTAAAAACACAAATTCACTGCTTGAGAAACACAAATCCACTGTTAATGCATTTGTATTTTTAAAGCAGTGAATTTGTGCAATTAAAGCAGAACGTGTACATAAAACTGTATCGAATCAGGATAACAGATTTTTAACCTCTGAAGTCTCGAATTTTATATCTTGCTTAATAACTCGATTCACGAGGTCGGCCGCCACGTTTTTTGACGGTTCTTTCCTTTTGAGTGAAAACGCGTCGAATGAGTACAATTTTATTAAGATTCTAAGGAGGGAACCATATTCTAAATAATTACCAATTTTTTTTAAAGTAAAGAATTTTTTTTAAAGTATAAAATTTGTTTTTGGGACCGAGAATTTGTGTCATTAAAGCAAATAAATCTTCACTTACGTGGTCTCATGTCCCTTTATACCACCGATGTGACAGATTCCCTAACCTGAATATTTATCAACTTTAAGGCGAGTAATCCTGTTTTACCAATGAAGTGTGATAATTTTTATTTGCTCGTTTCTCTTAATTGCACTTACGGATTGAAAAGTCCTTCTCCACAATTAAAGTATCGACAACAACACAGGGCGCCAGCTACAATATAATATGAAAAACGAAAAAGAAAATTAAAAATTATGGTTTTTATCACCGGCTTCTACAGTCGACTCGTCACGATATGTACTCCATATAAGAATTTCAGACCTTGCATGTTTAAAATAAATAGCTGGCGCCTTATTAAACAGTGTTGGCAATACAGCAAATTACCCACAGCTCGCTAGAGATATTATAACGGACCATTCATGTGCGCCGGCTCATCGAGTCGCCTTTCTATATTCTCTACTACTTATGTTCATCTTCGTTACCTTCGTTACCGCGCGTATCTCTCGCGTTGTATCACCGCACTATCAGCACGCTTTTATTACTGTGTTGTCCTATCTGATGGATACGAATAAAGAGCGACGGTTTATCATACATATAATCGGTGTGGTGTTTCCTTTCACTTCCCTATCATACGTGCGACTCAACAGGTTATGGGCCCAGTACCGCGACGACAAAATGAAAAGTGTACATCGCTAGCGTGAAACGCGCACAATGCTCTAGTACTGAAAATAGATCGAGGGCACGCGGCCTCGCCATCTTTCTCTCTCCTTCTTCTCGACGCCTTAAACGATGCCACACACGAATATCAATTCCACGCGATTAGAGACATTAACCAAAGACAATTACGATACGTGGTATACAAGCGGAAGCACTGCTTGTTAAAAACGATAACTGGTGCTATGTAAGTGGCGAAAAACCGCGTCCTCCAGTCGACGGAAGCGATATCAAAACGAAAATGCCGGAAAGTGGGGACGTCAAGACGCAAATCGCACAGTTCTTCGATGCGGACGATAAGCTCGAATCCATGGATGTCAATATAAACGGAGATCTTCTCTCTATAATGTTATTATACAGCTTACCGAGCAGCTTCGAGAATTTCAGGTGCGCGATCGAATCCCGCGACGCATTACCGAATACCGAGAATCTGAAAGTAAAGATTCTCGAAGAATACGAGGCGCGAAATCAAGCGACGACCGAAGAGTCGGGGGCGATGCTTGCTCATTGAGGCAATACAATGTCAACACGAAATCTCGGAAAGGCGCACCGTCACCACGCAAGAATACCGACGCTGTGGCAACCTCACGTTTCAAATTTAAATGTTCCTTTTGCAAAATTCCAGGACATAAATACGCCGAATGTCACAAACGAAAGAAACAGGAGGACGAAACGGCGAACAATACGGTGAAATTTTCGTCGAAAATTTCTTCGCAGAGACCGCTCACTACTCGCCGGGTAAGCTATGCGGATCCTCAGTACGGATCTTGTGGTGCCTCGACAGCGGATGCACATCGCACCTGTGCGGCGACATCCATAAAATGAAAAATCCCACGCGTGTGAGGAGCGACATAAGATTGGCTAGTAGCGCCACCAGCTCAGTGATCGCGAAGGGAAACGTAGAGATCTCAACCAGTGTGAATGGTACAAATAAGAAAATTTAACTAGACGACGCCATGCACGTTCCTGACCTGAGAACCAACCTACTTTCGGTCGCCAAAATCGTGGACAAAGGATATCAGGTCACGTTCGACTCGACTCAAGCCACAGTGAAGGATCATCGAGGAAACGTCAAGCTCGTCGCTAAGCGCAACGGCAACTTATTTTTCTTGGAGGAATCAACCCACGAAGCTAACTTGGTTACACGGGAGAAGCGTTCCGATGTCGAAGTCTGGCACGAGAGGCTGGGCCATCTCAATCAAAGCGATCTCCTACGCATGTCAAGGACACAAGCCGCAACCGGATTCTGACTCAAAGGTCGCTCTGGGATCTCGAAATGCAAGGTTGTATACTCCGACCTTTGCGGACCGATGCGAATAGAATCAATAGGCGGTGCGCGCTACTTCATGACTCTCATCGACGACCATTCTAGATGGTGTCAAGTGTATTTCCTCAAGAGCAAAGATGAGGCGGTGGCAAAATTCGTCGAATACAAGAAATTTGTGGAATCAGACCGGTTGCAAGGTAAAGGCGATCTATATGGATAACGGAAAGGAATTTCTCAACTCCTTAATGGAACGAATCATAAAAGATTCCGGCATTCAATGACGCCTGACCGTCTCTCGCACTCCGGAACAAAACGGCATTGCCGAACGGAAGAACAGGACCTTGGTCGAGATGGCACGCTGCCTACTTGCGCAATCCGGTCTTCCACCTTCTTTTTGGGCTGAAGCTGTAAACACTGCGAATTATTTGCGAAATCGCTGCACAAGCAGGAGCCTGAACAATCGCACGCCTTACGAATTGTGGAAGGGACAGAAACCTGACATCGGTCATTTACGTTCCTTCGGATGCAAAGTAATGTTTCTCGACAAGAATCCGAATAAAGGAAAATTTGAACCCAGAGCCATCGAAGGCATCTTTATAGGATATACAGACACCCCGAGAAGTTATCGTGTCTGGGTCCCGAAAAATCGTAAGGTCATCGTCACCAGGGACATCAAATTCCTTGATGAATGCGGCGACAGCAGCCCGCGGGAGGACCCTGCTCGACACGACGCCACGAACGATGTGAAAGAGCTCCCCAATGAGAACGTACAACCGGATCCGATGACCGAGGTTGCGAATCATCGGATCGAATCGACTACCAGTTCAACACCGGTTACTGCGGACGCCTCGCCAGAAACGAGCAATGATCCAGACTTCGATTCACGTGCGAGAGAAGCTTCGATTCGAGACCAATCAATCGCGCGCGGACCAGGACGACCACGCAAGCTCTACACAGGAATGCCCGGTCGCCCGGCCAAGCTCTACCATGTAAAGAGGCCGATGGAACGCGAGGATGCACAACGAACCGACCCGGATACAGAGAACTTTAGACGCGCGAAGAAGAAGAGGTCCCAGCCGACATAACGAATAATTCGACGAGCAAGCTACCATGTTAGCATCCGAAATACAATTTTATCAGGCTGTTTCAGGTCCGGACGGGGAGGAATGGCTCGACGAAGTGTACGACGAGATCAAGTCGCTGGTAAACAATGATACATGGACGCTCGCGGACCGACCGGTCGGAGGGAAAGTAATTGGATGCCGAACTGTTCCGAGAAACAAATACAAAGCCAAACGGAGAGCTAGATCGAAGGAAGGCGCGAGTGGTTACCAGGGGTTTCGCTCAGCGCCCCGGCGTAGATTTTCATGACACATTCGCTCCAGTTGCGAGGCTGAGCTCGCTAAGGATATTGATGGCCGTAGCCGCTGAACGGGACATGCAGATCGCACAAATAGACGTCACAACAGCTTCTCTTAATGGAGCAATGGACACCACGGTTTTCATGGAAGCACCCGCCATGCTTCAACGAATGCTCAAAAGAATTGTCTCGGAGAAAGGCAACCAGGGCCTGGTCGAGAAGGCTAAGGCCATACTTGATTGACTGAGTGAAGGGGCCACGGTATACAAGCTCAACAAATCTCTGTACGGGCTGCGACAAGTGGGTCGCCAATGGCACGCGAAACTCGCCGCCACGCTCGAAGGATTTGACTTGTTGCCGACCATGGCTGATCCATGCGTGTACCACGCAGTGATGCACATTTGGCTCCTCGGCAACACGGAAAACCGCCCCACCATTTCGCCGCTGCGCGAGAGCGAGCGAAACAGTGAGACTCGCTGTCTCGTTCGCTCTCGCGCAGCGG